ATGAATAAACATACACATGTCTGACCTTTAAGCTAAATAATTTATTGGGCTTTAAGGAACAAAGATGCTAAGCATTAGCGATTAGCTAACTTTTCTGACATCAAATAACGGAAGTTATGTGATTTTTATGAATATCCTGGATTCCTTTTAAACGTTTGTGCAAATGAAGCGTTTTAGCTGGAATAACCTGAAAGCTCAGTGATCATGTGACTCGCATTAATGGAGTTCCCATAAGAAGCGTTGATGATCCCACATTAACAATCAGCATCAGCCCTGATGATTAACAATATTCTAGATTGGTTATTCTATTCACTCCGTTTCTATGATGAACTTAACTCAAACAGCAGGAACCTTCCACCTTTTATCTGACTCAATAAAGTTTGAACCGTTTTTGTTTTCATGGAGAAATCTGTCAATTTAAACACGAGTTGCTGTATTTACGACATCCTCCCGGACCTTGGTTTAAACGCGTCTACATTCATAGATCATCGCTTGTAGAATAATGACGGCCTTTAAAACCTCAACAGTAAAGATGAAAACATTAAAGCAAACTGATCTGGGATCAGAATCTGGAATGAAAACATGTGGCTTCTGCTTTCCTCGCTTTAATGGTGGACTTTATAAACCTTAGCAAGGAGCATATATCACAGCTTAGTCAGGTCGGTCACATGCCAAGTAGGTCTTATTGAAATAATCGTCAACTAAGTTAGTAATCGATTGTTAACTGGAGTATAGAACCTCTAAACATGTCTTCAGCTGACAGAGCGACCCGCTTAGAGCAGCAATTATACCAAGATTGGAAAAAAATGATTTCTGTCTGTCAATCGGCTCTATTCAGAACCCCACAAGTTTTAGTTTCAATGGGTTTGGTTTAGTAAAAAGTCTTAAACGGCAGATCTGATCGCCATGGTAACATGGGTTAAACCTGCCAGGAGTTTTCCCAAAGACGTTCCATCTTCACTAAAGTTCCCGAATGATCCAAGGGAACTTCCGTAGCTCTGGACAATATTTCTGTAATTTCTCTGGAGAAAATGATTATAGATTGATCTGCATCTGCTGTCAATGGTGGCATCTACACACCTTTTTTCTACTTGACTGAGTATCTGTGAAATTTAACCACAGAAATTAATAATTAGATCATATAACCGAAAAACAACTGATGGCAGACTATTAAAATAGTACCTGGATACAAAATGTTAACGGTTCTAAACTGCTGAACTCTAACTTCCACATTTCTAACTGGCTTTTATTGCACCTTCTGGAGAAAAACAAAAAACAACCTATAAAATGTTATAAATAAGTGTGTTCGCCCTAAAACCGAACAGGTAAACATGATCTGTCAAAGTGAGGGTGTTTCCCCTAAAAGGTGATTAAACTTTAAATAAGATTTAGCAACTTGCCTTACCTTTTCGTTAAAAGAAAAAACACCTAAAAAAAATAAATATGATTTGTATTTCACAGCGTTCCTGCTTCTCTAAGCAGCTTAATATTTAATTTAATAAATGGACCTAATGGGCTTCCATAAAAACAGATGATTTGAGGTTTGTTGAAATTGATGGGAATTCAACTGTTGTGAAGTGACAAACAGTTGTGTTGCTGGTATAAAAAGAAGGTTAGTTTTTGTACAGCTTCATGCTTAACGTCTGGATTCACTAAACTTAGACCGAGTCCGATGTTCTGTCAGGTCAGCATACCCCATCAGACCAGCATACCCAGTCAATACGCATGTACAGGGTGTCAGATCTGCATACATGCTGATCTGGACAGGCTGAAAAGCAAATGTAACAGAAGTTGTTTAACCCTTTATAGGGCACTCAGCGAAAGACTTTAAATATCTAAGTTACGTAATTTTCTCTTAAAATAAATGAATTTTCTTTAATTGAGCAGGTAAGTGAGACACTTTGCAAATGGAATAAGAAAATTTACATTTAAAATAAGGGAAAAAGTGCAGTCTCCTATTTCAAGTGCATAATATCAAATAATCTTATATTAAGGATAAAAATGATTCTTCCACTGGGAAATTTTCTTATTTACCTACTCACATTAAGGGTAAATACACTTATTTTAAGACATTTCACCAGTTTTTAGATCATTTTTGAATCCAGGACAAGACCGTATATCTTTGTAACAAAAGTGCTTCCATAAGAAATTCATAGAAAGTGAAAGAAACGCATTTTTCTTTTGGTACGACATAACCTTAGAGGCTTATTAACCCTTTAGCTTTACTTTCTAACTTTTCAATGAGCTTTTTACCTTTTTTCTTAACCTGTTTTTTCCAACTTAATTTCCAGTAGGTAATATATCATTCAAGGGCTCATCTAATGGCTCAAATGCCAAAACAAAATGCATAGCCATGTAGTAGTATCTTTGCTTAATGGCTGGATATAGATCTTGTGCTTCTAGACCTCACTGAGGGACAGGGGGGCTAGATTTCTAAGGGGAATGCAAATGATCAAAAATGGTAACCTGCCCTATAAATGGTTAATGTACCTTTCTTCATGCGTGTGCATGAGTACTACCATGGGTATGTCGATCTGACGGGGTATGCCGATCTGACGGGGTATGCCGATCTGACAGAACACCGGGATAAAAAGCTGCAGCAGTACGCGTTGAGAACAGGACCATACTCACTCTGAGAATCCCTTCCACTTCAGCAGGAACTCCACTTTGCCCCTCACCACACGGCGGTCTAGAACCTTCTCCACCACATACTCCTCTTCCTCCTCCTCCTCTGGAGGTGCTGCTGGTGCTGCTTCTGCAGGAGGTGCTTCGTCTGTGGGCTCTGCTGTTGCTGTTGCTGCTGCTGCCGCCGCCGTCGCTACCACCGGGGCAGCTGGCTGCTCCTCATCCTCGGATTTCTTGCTCTTCTTCGCAGCTACGGTCGCCATGTTGGTGTCTAATGGAGGAGTCCCTGGAGACGCATGGAAATATCTAAACTTTTCTTTCCATGATACAATGGCTGCATTTTGCAAATATCTTAAATGCAACATGTTTATATATTTAAAATAATTTACAATCAACATTTAGACTTATTTAAAGAACGTTTTAACAGGAAAACTCTAAGGAGCAAATTCCGACTGAGATTAAAGATCTGACTTAAAGCAAGAACAGCTCCAAAACTATAAATTGAAATACAATTGTTTAGAGCTGCAACAATGAATCGATAAAATCGATAAAAATTTATAGTGGCCCTAATCCTCTTCCGTATGTATGAC